GCCTCTATCTCCCTAGTGCTGGAATTAAAGGCTTACACCACCACTATCTGGCCAATTGTTCTTTTTTTTTTTTCAGTTTATCATTTTTTATTTAATTTTATGGGTATGGGTGTTTTGCCTGCACATGTCAGTGAACCATGTGCATGCCTACTGTCCAAGGAAGCCAAAAGAGAGTGTTGGATCCCTTGGAACTGGAATTACAGATGTTTGTAAGCTGCTGGAAATTAAACCCAGGTCCTCTGGCAGAGCAGCCTGTGTTCTTAGTCACTAAGCTAAGAACACAGCTCTCCTAACCAACTGTTGTTAACAAAAGTTTTTCTTGCCTGACTGTGTAGACCAAGCTGACCCTGAACTCAAAAGGTCTGCCTGCCTCTTCCTCCCGAGTGCTAAGATTAAAGACACGCACCACCACACCTGTTAAAGACATTAAAATTTAATAGCGTCTCTTGTCCTCCAGACACAATTATCTGTGAGTATGGCCACTTTAGGAGGGCCACACTCCACCACAGGAGGGACAGTGCTGCAATGATGGCAATGAGTAGGCTTTGTGGTTGTTTCTGTTTTGTTTGCTTTCCAAAAGTTTTTCTTTGCATTTGTGTGAAGGTGTCAGATCCCTTGGAATTGGCATTACAAACAGTTGTGAGCTGCTGTGTGGGTACTGGGACTTTAACCTGGGTCTTTTGGAAGAGCAGACAGTGCTCTTAACCTCTGAGCCATCTCTCCAGCCCCTGGGCTTTTGAATTTAAAGATAATGCTATAGATCTGGATTTCTTCTAAATAAGCAGGTACTAAACCCACTTATAAACTCTACTTAGAAATTTAGGAAAAGCAGATGAAGGCATGCTTAGATAGTCTAAACTTTTGAACTGTATATGGTATATGGCCAAAGATCTGTTGGAGATCTTCCTTTATGTCTCTTCAGCTTGTTTTTTGAGACAGCCTCTTTTGCTAAACCTGGAGCTTGCTGTTGGGACTAAGCTTGTTGGCTATACCCACCTGACCCTCCTCCCCCAGGTTAGGTTGATACATGCCTCCATGCCTGGGTTTTACTTGGGTGCTGGGGGCTCCAAATATAAGTCCTCACGCTTGTACAGCAAATATCTGACTCACTATGACATCTCCTTGTCCCCTAGTCTTCTCAAAGTTAAAAAAGGCAGAATGAGAGCTTTAAGTACAGCTTAGTGATAAGAGGGCTTACCTAGCATGGGCAAGGCCCTAGGCTCAATTCAAGTACCACAAGAGAAAAAATGCAGAAGTCTAATTCTGTGTGTGTGTCTGTGTGAAAGAGAGAAGGGACAAGGACAATGTTCTGAGCTCCTGAGTTCAGCCAGGTTGGCCAGCCAATAAGCTTTAGAGATGCCCCTGCCTGGCACTCTTGAGACGAGGGTCACAGGCATGAGCTGTAGTGCCTCGCTCTTCCCTTGGGTTCTGGGCATCTGAACTCAGGTCTTTATGCTTGTGCAGTAGCTGCTTCAGTGACTAAGCATCTTCCCAACCTCAAGACATCAACAGATGGAGGGAGAAGCATGTCTGAATTGAATGCATTTTTTTTTCAACTAGACAAACTCAGTTTTATAGAAGAAAAATTATCTTAGATTCTTCCACATAACTACTATTTTATTTCTTGGTTGTTTTTTAATTGCTTAGGGATAAAGTAAGTATGACTGGGAATTTAGAAAATGACAACTATTCTAACCATTTAAGTGTCAGACTTGAGAAATCAAAGATAGCTTTAAACTTTAAAATGAAACATAATAGTTTACATAAATTTGAAAAACTCAAATTAAACCAAGCACTCATAATTTCCATTCTTTTTAAAAATATTATTTAAAAATACTACTAGCTCCATAAAATATCTTCTCTTTAAAGTTTAAATTTACCATCATATCTCATTCTGACCATGATACAAAAACATGACATAAGTTCATTTCAAGTAAAAAAGACGTAAAGCTATTTGTATACCTGATTAAAGATCTAGAAATAATATTTGGGCTTGGCCCCTCCCCATCACTAAATGAGTCATCCACACTTATTACAAATGCACTATGGGCCTGTGGGAAAGTAAAAAAAAAAAATCTATTCAACTGAGAAAAAGAAAAGACAGGAGGTGTGTGAATGCAAGGATGAAAGACACAGGCATACAAGAGCACCAACTGTAAAGAACGCTCACAAACAGAAGAGTGAACTGTATTGGGAGCTCTCATTACAGAAAATTCATGAGTTCCAGTTTTTAAAAACTATCAACTGTCTATATGCATGCATGTGCACACATACATATGTGTGTGCGTTTGAATGCCTGTCCGTGCCATGGCACATGTGTGGGGGTCAGGGAACAACTGCAGGAGTTAAGTCTCTCCTTCTACAGTGTGAGTTCTGGAAATAAAATTCAGGTCACAAGTTTGATGGCAAGCATTTTTATCCACTGACTCTGAATTCCAATTTTTAATACTGTCATATTTTAAAAATTTAAAGATAATCATTATCTAAAAATAATTTATAAATATTTTAATAAAATATCTAGTAAAAAACAGCACTTTCTTCATATCCTCTCAAACTTTTTATGGCACGTATTAGTTGACCAAAACAGAATCATAAAAAAAATACTTTTTCTATCAGTATTATTACTGGTAAATAATCTTTAGGCTAAAAGTGTTAGGTATCAGTTCCTCCCAAAGTCAAGAAACTTACATACAAGAGAGCTAGACTTATCAATGAAAAGTAACTTCCCTTCTATAAGGGAACTTCTTTTTTACTCTTCTAGCTTACCTTTAGATACACAGAAGAAATGGCAACCAGAGTGTTATCACCTGAAGACTAGAGATGGCCCCCTAAAAACCAACACTAAGTACATCTTAAAGACAACTTAATTTCTCTTTATTAGTATTTCTTTCTCCTTCCCTTCCTTTTTCCCTTGGGGTTAAACCTAGACCCTTTATATGCTATATAATCTCTTTCCCTCTAAACTATAACCACCTGTTCTCTTTTGTTTGCTTTAGATTTTTAGGCAGTGTCTTGCAGAACTGTGCAAACTTGCTATGAACCTGTGGTCCTCTTGCCTCAGCCCTGCAGATAGTCGGATTTCAGTTGGGTTGAGCTCCATCACTGTCTTTACATCAAGGCATAAAATGATTACCGACTTTGCTAGCGGAGAGCACCACACATTGTTATTCTTTCACACCTGCTTGCTCAGTGTGTTCCCAAGGCCAGTAGCACCATCACCACCCGGGAATCTCTGAGAAACTCAGAATCCCGGATCCCACCCCCAGACCTCAATCACTACCTGTTTTTAAAAGACTCCCAGTGATTGAGAGGTACTGAAATAAATTAGAAAACTTAAGTTTAAGGTTGAGATCCATGACTTTGCAGGTCTATAAGGCCATTACTGAAGCAAATTTTTAATGTACATATGCACAGTAACATTGTTTTTCAATCTTAATATCGACTGTGAAGGAAAGGCAGTGTTACATGTTTCATTTACATATATATCTACCAAACAGTTGTTGCAGGTTATCAAATAAAATGATAGATGTTAAAGCTCTTTGTAAATTACAAAGCACTGTCTGCTTAAATAGAAGACACTACTGCTAATAAACAGTGCTTACTTACACCTTTCCTCTTTGATGTCTCACAGAACATCACAGACATGTTATTAGATTGTACTACATAATTATGATAAAACAAATCTTTCAAGCCCTAGCCTTTAAAGCCAAAGCCAAGAGATATTCTCCCTATAACATCAATATCTTCTTGTTCCAAACACTTTATTTATTCTCCCAATCCATAGTTTTTGAGGACTTAACTATAAGTTTAAAGATAATAAATTAACTGGTTTACCCTACTACCAAGAACCAAATGCTCTGATAAAAGCTGCTTTTGTTTAGTGTCTTGGCTTTCATGGTCCACAATGCAACAGTTTTCCAATAGAACACAGCATGGCATAAGGCTGAACCATATGTTGTAGTTCACATTAAGGGAAGAAGCCAGGGTCCTTCTCCCTGCTTTCTCATTGCTTCCTTTTCTGTTTTTTTTGGTTGTTTTTTTTTTTACAAAAGGTAACTTCCTAAACTATATCAATTGTATTCAATCTTTGTACCCCTGAAGTCCTGGAACTCACTGTGTAGATCAGGCTGGCCTCAAATTCAGAGATTCTCCTGCCTCTACCTCTCAAGTGCTGGAATTAAAGGTGTATGCCACCATATCCAACAATATGGAACTTCTTACTATTAGGGCATTGTGACTGGCTTTAAATATAAAATCTACTAAGAGCAATTTGTTTATTCATAAGACACTTTTATAAAACTTTGGAAATAATCATAAAGTGCTAACCCATTATGGCTGAGATGATCAACTGACTTTCCAACTGTTTATCCAAATCCTTTCTCACCCCAGAGCCAGCAGTGTCCCTCTCCTGAGATGGGTGTACAGCCCTGCTACACTGGTACCACAAAAGCCACTGAGAACCATACTGAGATTTCAGACTTCATGCAGGGCAACAGAAAAGGATTAACACATGCAACTGTGCAGCAACACTTTTAGACACAGTTTAACTTAAAAACAAAAGAAAACAAGAAAGAAAAGAAAAACAACCTGCCCAGCACAAGAACAACCCCACATCAGCCTATGAGCAGAGAATTAGTACTATCAGGTGGCCAGAAACAAAACCAAGGCAAACTCCCACAAAATTCAATATTTAGTTACTATCATTTAAAAAACCACTACTGGTGCACATTCAAAAGGCACTACCAAAGGGCAAAGGTGTCATAACGCTCTTATTATTTCTTCAAAAAGCTCTTGAATATGACAGAAGTAAAGATTTAATTTTAAGAAAGATAAGGTACAAAACAGTACCTCTGTAGATGTTTTCTCAAACTAAGATTGCCAGAAGATATATAACAGTTCTTCACTAAGAAGATGAAGGCTAATGCATGGCACCAATGAGAGCTAGAGGTGTGAGAACAAGCGCCCTTCCCAATAGTTGCCGATTTAGGACAGATTCCTACCAGTCTCTGCTGCTCCAAAAGAAGATCAGCTTCCTCCTTTTCCTTTTTGTACAGAATCTCCATTTCCTGTAGCCTAGAAGTAAAACAGAAACAAAATACCAAAAAAAAAAAAAAAAAAAAGTTATGAAATCAGGCTGTTGTGAAAGCTACTACATGTTTCAGAGCATCATACAGGCTGTGTAACACTTATGGATTACCTCTTTTCCATCTCCTGTTTCATATCAATTCCTTGTTTTTCAAGAAGCTCTCTCTGAGCAAATGTCCAGTCCACTGGCTCAGAGGGGGTCTCCGCAGAGGGAGTCTTCTCCCGTTCAGCTCGGGCTTGTTCAGGGTGGTTGAAACGAAAAACATGGTTTTTACCCATAATGATACGGTTCCCTAGAACAAAACAGAGACAGGGTGAGAATTTATTTGCTTTGAAGTGCTGTGAATCAAATCCAGGGCCCTGTACACACTAACAAATGTGCTTTACCACTCAGCTAAAGCCCCAGTTCCAAGGAATCCATTTTAACAAACAGTTCTAGTTTTTAAAATGTTAATCTTGCCAGGAAGGGTGGCAAATGCCTGTGATCCTAGCACTCAGGAGGCCAAAGGTTTACAACTTTGAGGTCATCCTAGGCTACACAGGGAAAACCTATCTCAAAGAAACACAATCTTACTCTCTTCATACAAAAAGACAGCTGGTAGGCTGGGTGTGATGGCCCATGCCTTTAATCCCAACAGAAAGCAGAGATGGGAAAACCTTCGTGAGGCCTACCTGGTCTATATAGTGAATTCAACCAGGGCTTCTTAATGAGAACAACAGGCGAGATTAAAAAGACACTTCTGTAGCTTTACAAGAACATAAATCCTAGGCTAAGTTTAGCCTTTAAATGAAGAGTCAGAGTCTGAGCTGCTCACACAGGCCATATGTACATGGCCGTCGATGTCGGGCATCTTCTCAGCCTTACCTGAGCGCAGCTGCACAGGATGAGCCACCCTCTTGCCATTCACATATGTTTCTGAGCGCTCACAGGGCTCTAAAGTCACAACAACTAAGAAGAATACAAACTGATGTTATTATCATAAACTAGTGCAATCACACAATGAAAAGTGCTTCACTATCAGGACTCAGTAACTAGAATAGATCCTTATAACCAACCAAGAGACTGAAGTGTCTATAAAGCAAGGGTTTTTGTTTGTTTGTGTGGAGTTTTGCTATTTTTGTTTGTTTCAAGATATTAGAACTTCTGTCAGTATAAGAAGCTATTGGAAGCCATGGCTATGCTAAAAACATTTAACTAAATTTCACAAACCTCAGAAGAAAACAGAAAATACTAATTTTGATAAAATCTGCTACAGCAGAAATCTTAAGTATGATACATAAATAAATGCTAACATTTTGGTTAAGGAAGAATTATATAGTCAGGGAAGAAGCTAGCATACAGCATAAAAATGTCATTAGATAGCTGCTGTCCTGTTAATGAATTGGGTTGGGGTGGGGACTCACACAAAATTGGCCTTTTCTTCCCTTTAAGATAAAAAGAAAAAAACTTCTATTGGCCTAATACTAGAGATTTTTCAACTCTCCTGTTACATAGAACAGTCATTTTTCTCTTACTTTTCTGTTAAATAGTTAAAATTCAAGACCAAACCTAATTGCCTGCATCCTGCTCAGTTCTTGGCAGTAACAAATGGGCTCCTTTAGTTCATGCTATTTTCATGTTAAGTAGCTATGTGTGTCCTTGCATTTATAAACATCCCAGGTTTTTCTATTTTTCAATATTTGATTGACACAAAAATTCCACTAACAGAGATAGGGAACTCCCAATCTTAAGGATTTCTCATGCTCCAGAGAAAAAAAGCTGCTTGAGAAAGTAAAACACAAAACTCTCACCTTCACCAGTGTTGTTTCTCTCACTCCGAAAGATACAATGCTCTTCTTTAATGTGAGCCCCACTCAGCACTATGTCCTGGCGCCGCTCAGCATCTGCTTGGCCAACCCTGAACACAAAGGAAAGTGTTTCACAGGGACATTCAGGCACAAAAAGCACTTATAGACAATGAACTGCTTTCTCCCAAAGAACTTCCTTTTATATATACACACATATGTATGTATGTATGTATATGTGTGTGTATATATATGTATATATACATATACATACATACTGCTTTTTTGTATCAGGTGCTTTCAACTACAAATTTTATTCTCAAGTGTGATGAATATCTGTACATGATCAACACACTGATATAATTTACACAATATAAGAAACAGGGCGCTCCAAGTTTGCTAGTGAACTCTTGCATGTTGTTATATGGGGTAATTTTTATTCAGGTTCTTCCAGAGAAAACTAAGTGCTAACTGGTTCCACTTAAAACCATGAAAAGAAGAGAAGATAATTTATAATCATTTCAGAAAGAAGAAATAGTGAATTATTACAATTTTTGGACAATTCCTTTAGTTATCAATCTCTAGAAGAAAACATTAAATGACTCAAATGAAGCAAATATACCTTGTAATTCCATCTTTGATATAATAAAGCAGACACTCCGACATTAGTGGGTCTTCATTGAGGTTAACGAGATGTGGAGTCTGGAAAAGGTTATAGATTATCAGTTTGGGGCAAGACAGCATGAGAAGGCTGTAGCAGCAGGGATATACTGAGCCTAAAAGTTTCTCAGAGTCCCCAGAATGCCTAAAGTGAGAGGGTCAACAGAAGTCCTAGCTGTAACTTTGTCATTAATAAAAGGCCTCCTCAGACTTGACTATCACATCCTGTTTAAGAACATGAGTTCTAGAAGGATGCAGTGGCTCATGGCTGTAATCCCAGCACTCAGGGAGGCAGAGGCAGGCGGATCTCTGTGAGTTCAAGGCCAGCCTGGTCTACAAAGCAAGTTCAGGACAGCTAAGGCTACATAGTAAAACCCTGTCTCAAAAAACAAAACACACACACACACACACACACAAGATTATGAGTTCTACTAAGCATGGCAGCATGTATCTTTAGCCCTAGCACTATGGAGGAAGAGACACGTGGATATCAAGGTGAACCTGATCTACACAGAGTTTCAGGCCAGTCAGGACTAACCCAGTCTCAAAAAAAAAAAAAAGTAAATAATAATAATAATAATAATAATAATAATAATAATAATAATAATGGGGCTAGAGACATAGTTCAGTAGGTAAGACAACTGTCAGCTCCTCTACAAGACCCAGGTTTGATCCCAAGTACCTACATGGGTGCTCACAAGCATTTCTGTTGCAGAAGATCTGACCCAGGCATGCATTTGGCATTCATAATGTGCACACAGGCAAAACAGACACATAAAATAAAGCGCTTCCTCGAGATCCAGCCATACCACTCCTAGGCATATATCCAAAAGAGGCTCAAGTACACAATAAGGACATTTGCTCAACCATGTTTGCAGCAGCTTTATTTGTAATAGCCAGAAACTGGAAACAGCCCAGATGCCCCTCAACTGAAGAATGGATGCAGAAATTGTGGTACATCTACACAATGGAATATTACTCAGCAATGAAAAAACAAGGAAATCATGAAATTTGCAGGTAAATGGTGGGACCTGGAAAGGATCATCCTGAGTGAGCTGTCCCAGAAGCAGAAAAACACACATGGTATATACTCACTCATATAGACATATAACATAGGATAAACCTACTAAAATCTGTACATCTAAAGAAACTAATTAAGAGAGAGGACCCTGACTAAAATGCTCAATCCCCATCCAGAAAGGCAAACAGGATAGACATCAGAAGAAGAAGAAAACAGGAAACAACCTAGGAACCTGCCATAGAGGGCCTCTGAAAGCCTCTGCCTTGCAGACTATCAAAGCAGACGCTGAGACTTATGGCCAACTGTTGGGCAGAGTGCATGGAATCTTATGTAAGAAGTGGGAAATAGTAAGATCTGGAGAGGACAGGAATTCCACAAGGAGAGCAACAGAACCAGAAAATCTGAACACAGGGGTCTTCCCAGAGACTCATACTCCAACCAAATACCATGCATGGAGATGCATAGATGTACCTAGAACCCCTGCACAGATGTAGTCCATGGCAGATTAGTGTCCAAGAGGGTTACATAGTAATGGGAAGAGGGGCTGCCTCTGACATAATCTGATTGGCCTGTTCTTTGATCACCTCCTGCTGAGGGTGGGGCAGCCTTACCAGGCCACAAAAGATGACAATGCAGCCACTCCTGATGAGATCTGATAGACTAAGATCAGAAGGAAGGAGAGGAGGACCTCCCCTATCAGTGGACTTAGGGAGGGGTATTTGTGAAGAAGGGGGAGGGAGGATAGGACCGGGAGGGGAGAAGAGAGGGGCTTATGAGGGGGATACAAAGTGAATAAAGTGTAATTAATAAAAAATAAATAAATAAATAAAATAAAAAAAGCCTGCTTGGGAGCTAGAGAGATGGCTCAGTGGTTAAGAACACTGACTGCTCTTCCAGAGGACCTAAGTTCAATTCCCAGAAACTACATACATAGTGGCTCACAACCACCTATAGTGGGATCTGATGTCCTCTACTAGTTTTTAGGTGTACATGCAGATAGAACATTCATAAAAAATAAATAAATCTAAAAAAAAAAAAAAAAGCATGCTGAAAAGGGAGCAGAGGGTCAATCTAGAGGGTAGAGATTGGAGCTGCTTTATTAAAAGAAATGGCTGGAAGTTCACAAACATCAACAGCTAAAAATGGTTCCCAGAAGTTACAGAGCCTCCAGCTCTTACACGCTGGGATTATAGATATCCAGCACCCTCCTCAAAATGACTGGAACTAGAAATCAAACCCAGTGCTAATAACTGCATGCTAGGCAAGCACTGGACATTGACGAGAGCATAGCAGAAGCAACTGGCGCTCAGCTAGGTCAGGATGACAAGAGGAGCAACAAGAAGATGCTTAAATGTACCCAGGGCTAAAAGGTACAGGCGCATTGCCCTAGGTTTTATCTTTTGTAAAACCTATAATCATTTGACAACTGGGTTGTCCTTGTACTGTAAGATGAAAGCAGAAATATCTGAACTTAAGTTAAGGATCTAGAAAAAATGGGTATATCTGAAAGACATGAAGTGAGTTACTGAGACAAACTGTTTTGTTTGAGTTTTACAACATGGTTTCCTACCTTTTTAGGTGAGAAAACGCCAAGTGTCCCTCCATCTTCCCGTATGGCAACTCCCATCTCAGCCAACAAGGCTTCTCTAGAAAAACAAAAACAAAAAAATCGAATAAATCAGAATATTAATACCAAAATGTCAATTACATTAGTTTTAAAAGAGCTGGAAAACAAGACAGACAAAGCAAGAACAGTGGGCTGTGTGTAACGCTGGCAAGAACCATACAGAATGATACACTTATCACACAGAATATCACATGCAGAAATGCTGTTCATCCAGGTAAGAAATACGAAAGGTTCTATTCCTTAAGGCTGTGCATCCAACATGAACAAACAATTTCCCCAGAATCTAAGAATGCAATCAAGGTAACTTGGGAGCCAGCACTCTGGTTTTAACATTAGTGAAGCCACAGATGTAAGTGAAGTGGGAGTGGCTACATTAAGTATAGTCTGTAAATGTGATTTTTTTTTTTCAAATGTTATATTCCCATGCTCCCCACCATTTTTGTACAGTAATTCTAGGAAGGTTTTATTTTTGTTTTTGTTTATTTGTTGTATGTGTGCATGTGTGTTTGTGTGCGTGTGTGCCTGTTATTGTGGGAACAATTTGTGAATTTGATTCTCTCCTTCCCCCTCTTTGTGGGACTTAGGGTTCAAACTCAGGCAATCAGGCTTGAGTGGCGAGCACCTTTACCTGCTGAGACAGGTACTTGCCTGCCCCAATAATTCTAGTTTAAAACATCTAGCATAAGTAAGACAATTCTTTGTCACATTTGCTAATCAGTACATCAAAGCTCATTTCTCCCTCATTTTCATAAAGGAGGAAGAACTTACTTTAAAAAAAAGACGTGTGCAATTATTGCAACAGTATAAACAGAATAAGAATTTGTTAAAAGTTTGCAACCTAAACTATACCTTTTACACAAAAGGTTCTACAAAAAGTAACTCTAGAGTCAAAACAGCTTTTACATATGGTCCTTTGCCAAGTAAAGTCTACTTTTTACAAATAAAAATCTCCTTTACTTAGTATGATTTTTCTCAATCCCAACAACATACAGGTGTGGTAACTATTACGCACTTGACCCCCTATAGCAGTGGTTCTCAATCTTCCTACTGCTGTGACCCTTTAATACAGCTCCAAACACAATCCCAAAACTTAGCAGCATCCAAGATTTTCATCTCCTGACCTCTCCATTCTGATAGCTTCTGTCTTACGAAGCTTCTCTTCCCAGGTTTCATTCAACTCAGCAATGATCTTCTCTGATTCCTATGGAAGGATGCACAGGTTGAAGTAGAAGAGTCATAATTTAACATACCATGTTTAACAAGGAAAGTATAAAAACAGGTAATAGTACCCTTTGGGAAAAAAGGACCATCTAAAGCGATGGGCTCTTTTTTTTTCTTTGAAAAGGTAAGAATCATAAATTTGTTTTTAATTCTATTTCATCTTTTCTTACTACTATTTCATCTTTTCTTACCTCAAAAACAATCCAAACTTAAAATTAAGCCTAAAATTAAGTAAACATCAAACACACATATCTTCCAACTCCTAATAAAAATAGGCAAATAATGAATCCATGTGTACATGTGCACAAGACAGAGGACGGGTGATATCAACACCCAAAAATGCAAAGGCACTTTTTTTTTTTTTTCAAATCAAGGCTTCAAGTTATAATATAACAATGTTTTTAAAAAGCTTCAAGAAAAGTCAGGTGGTGGCAGTGCCCGCCTTTAATCCCAGCACTTGGGAGGCAGAGGCAGGTGGATCTCTGTGGCCAACCGGGTCTATAGAGCGAGTTCTAGGACACCCAGGGCCACACAAGAAACCAAGTCTCAAAACAAAACAAAACAAACAAACAAACAAACAAACAAAAAGCTCCAACAGCATGGAGGAAATGTTCATTGAGTGGCACACTAGCAAACCTTTAGTGCTAGCAAAGACTGAATAACCATTTATTCTACAATCATTCTACAGATAAGAAATTAACCTAAGCCTATCCTACTCCTTGAGCTGGGCTTCGTATTACTGATCTTTCTTTACATTTATGTATTTATTCTTTTATTCATTCACTCTTTTTATCTCTTTATTTTCACTTTGGGACAGAGTCTCATGCAGCCTCATCCGGTCTTAGATTCATTTAGCCATAGATGCTGCTGATCCTCCTGGTTCAGCCTCCGAAGAGCTGAGACTACAGGGCCTGTGCCACTATGTCCAGTGTTTTATTTCCTCTCAATGATTCAATGAGAAGGCAGTAAATTTGATAGGGGAAAAAGAAATAAGTCCACAAAAAAAAATTGTAGTTTAAGTTTTGACATTTAGAAGATTAGATGCTTACTCCATGGAACACTCCTTGAAGCCATCAGGTAGCTAAGGTTTCACTGTATCGAACAGCATGCTTCCTGAGTTCCAAGTGTGGGGCCATCAGACTGCTTAGCACAGATTTGCCCTGCCCATTTCTGTGATGGATGCTTATAGATATTTATAGGTTGAGTCTTGGTAATGGCACTCACAGTACTGACTTTGATGTGAGTCTGTAAACATCAGAGCCAGTGGCTCATGTTCAAAACTTTACTGAGTGAAAAGACCAAATCACGCATACAGGGATTTCAACTCAGTTCAAGTGGAGGCTTCAAAGAAAAATTACATAACAGTATCTTTTTTTTTTTTTCTTTTTTTGTTCAAAAATTTACTTATTGTTTATACAGTGTTCTGCCTGCACATGTGCCTGTATGACAGAAGAGGGCACTGGATCTCACTATAGATGGTTACTGGCCACCATGTGGTGGCTGGGAATTGAACTCAGGATCTTTGGAAGAAAAGTCAATGCTCTTAACCTCTGAGCCATCTCTTCAGCCCCTCTCCCCCTTTTTTCCCAGAGAAATTTGTAGAGAAATTGAGATATTAACATTATATGTAGAAATAGGCTATTCAGTGGAGAAAGAAGGAGCGGTACCTAGGTAAAAGCAATGTATGAACAAACACTGACCTTAAGTTAAAAATATAGAGAAGCAAAGGCAAATAAACCATTAGGGAGACGAGTTAACCTCCACTGTTCCTGTTTTCCATCGCAGCATTTTCCTCTTGCAGTGTCATGCCTTAGGAATGCAGCTCCTAAGACACTCTCAAGCATTTGTACTGTACAACTGCTGCCCCACACTCTGGACGAAAGATGCTCTCTGCATCATTAAAATGCAGGTCTGTCCACTCTCCAGACACAAAATAAACGCAGAGCCAAAGCGCTTATGCTTCAGTGAGCTACCACATGAGACGGAGCACAAAGCTGTAAGGGAGCCATTTGTACTCTAGAATAAAGCTAGGGAAAGAAATGTTTTACTTATGTTGCTTCAAGAAAAATTAAGAGAGCAATTTATTTGCTGACTAAAGTATTATAGCTTTGTTTTCATGAGATGTAGGCAGTTGTGGGGGGGGGTGTTCCTTGAATAATGATGGCGTTATTCCCTAAAAGCCATTTGGAAAACACTGGGTGACCTAATTTTAAAAAAAAAATCCTAGTTACTGTCTTGACTCCTAACATGTGGCATTATTTTCAGTTGGTTCTAGCTGGCAACCAGAAAGAAATTTCTCCTTTACACCAAAGGAGGGGGAGGTAATCTCATTTTGTGCAGTATAAAGGCACAGTATAAAAATAGTTAAGATTCAAAATCCCTAAAGGAAATAAACATTTAATATAAAATAATAAGAGGGAGCCAGGCGTGGTGGCACATGTCTGTAATCCCAGCAGTCAGGGAGGCAGAGGCAGGTATAGCTCTGAGTTTGAGGACAGCCTGGTCTACAAAGTAAGTCCAGGACAGCCAAGGCTACACAGAAACACCCAGTCTTGGAAAAAAATTAAATAGTAATAATAATAATAATAATAATAATGGAAGTTAATTTTTCCCTATTGCCAGAGTCGTGCTAGCAACACAGTAACTGACCCTGACTTACGAGGAAATTTGTGAGTGAAGACACCTTCTCACACAGGACTTCAGTACCATCTGTGACATGGCTTCCAAGTCAATTTTACAAAAAAGATTACCCTGTACCCTGCAACCCTGAATACAAAAATTTCTCCTCCTTGTCCTTTTGCCAGGCATTTTAGAACACCACTGCCTTTCTGAATCAAGACCCAAAAACATTGCTTTTATTTTGGAAGCAACTTCTTGTTGAAGAAAATGTCAAGAAAAAGGATGTGGTGATAAAAAAGGAGTCTGAAACCTACTTCATATAAAGTCTGTTACAGCTTCCCCTGAAAAAGACAGTAAAAGCATCTGACTGATTCACTGACTTCTGTAGTGAAGATGTTCAACAAGCCAGCCTGCCTGCCTTCCTTTCTTTCTTATCCTTTACCTATTAGAGTACCACTGCCCACAACGGTCTTTGGATGGGCAGCAATTGGTAGTGGCAATACTGGGTGATGGTAAAGAGGATCCTTGACTGGAAGCATGGGTGTGACTTCCCATATCCTAAGTGGTTTCCCCTGCACTGGGACTCTTGAACACAAAGGCCAAAAGGCAGAAAGAAACAATATGGAGATAGCAAGCAGGAAAAGAGAAAACATGATGCTCCTAATGTGGCCTGATGCCTGGCACCACAGATGACACCTGTCTGCTCTCACTGTAGTCACTGAAGGGAAGAGGAGAAGTACTGCTCCTGGTTTTCATACTGAGGAAGAGACAAGACAGAAGTGGATACAGCCAGCAACAGACTGGAAGAACCCTCCACCTGCAGAGCTGGGAGCCAGGCATGATGTGATGGTTAACTGAATCTGAAGTTAGATGCATATCTGACTGTGTCTGTGAGAGCACTGCCAGAGAAGCTGAACAGCAAAGAGCCACCATGAATGTGGCAGCGCCATCCTATGAGCTGGGGCCCTAGACTGAAATAAAGAAAGGAAAAGAGAAGGCACCTGGGTACTGGCATTCTCCTTTCTCCGTTTCTTGATCTACAAAGATGTGAACAAGCAGCCTCACACTCTTCCAGCCATGCCTTCTCTTTAGACTAACCTCAAACCATGTGCTAAAGTAAACTCTCCCTACAGTTACTTCTTCTCAGGCACTCGGTTCCAACAAGTAACCAGTACAGTGGGCAATCCGCAGATGTGCAGCACCACGGCTCCGGAACCCCAACTGCACTAAACAGGAGGAGAAAGCCCTCTTCTCCCATAACTAAGGGCTTTCTGAAGAGTTCTAGAAGTTACAATTTCACATAGCCTAATAAACCTGATATCACTACTCAAATGTTCAAACTTCCAGTTAGTTGTATAATAATGTTACTAATAGAAGAGTGGCTCTACGGAGAATTCTATCTTCAATGAAACCAAATTTTCCAACTAGTTATTTCATTTAAAGCTAAATTATTACTACTTTAGAAAAGGTTTCACATTGCCTAGGCTGTCCTCAAACTCACTATGTAGCCAGGATGACCCTGAATACCTCATCATCCTTTCTCCATCTTCTAAATACTGCGTTAACAGGTTTGTGCTACCATGTCTGGCTTTAAAACTAAATTCTAACAAGCAACGTCACTGTGACTTATAAAATTACCTGTAAACTAATGGAAATCTCTACTACTCAGCTTTTTTGTATGGCTAACTTACGACCTTTCCACCTCTGGCCAAGTAAAACTCAAGCACTCTGATAAAAAGAAATTAACTTAAATAAAACAAATAATTTCAATTTCAGGGCATTTCTGTTAACATCTCCATGTGCTAAGCCAAAATTTCTGTGAAGCTCATTCAGTCCTAGTTCTGCCTTCCAGAACAACATAGAATGCTTTTGCATTCAATCTTCAGACTTACCTTCAGACGTTCAATGGCTTCTTCCCCTCCAGGTGTAGACATGATCCTCTCTTGAATACTGGTCACAGATGTTAAGCCCACCTGACTATTAAGTGAGCATGAAGATGGAGATGAAGTAAGGGACCCCATGGATGCTGTGGAAAAATTGCCAGGGCGTTGATTCTCAGAGGCTAGCAAGTACCTATGCTTATTGTTCTGAAAATCTTTCAGATCTGGGAGACAGAAAGAAGGGAAAGTAGAAAAAGAGAAGGCAAGGAGCAGAGGAGAAAAAAAGACAGGAAGGAACACCAGTGTGAGAAAGGACAGCATCAAAGCGCCAAGACTAACACAGCTATAACACAGAGACAAGCTACAGACTGTACTAGATGGCAGTTCTAAAACATGTCGCTCTTCAGTATTTGCTCCTAAGCAGTTAGCCACTTGTGAATTTAGAAATGAGATGTTTCTAATGTGTAGGGTATAACCAGAGCTTCAAAGATGTTTTTCTTAAGCAGGTAAACTACAGTCCTTCAATTCTTCCTACTATTCTACACCTTCAATATCTACAGTTTTACTATATTTTTAAACTCCAGTAGTGTTTAACAGAAAGGGAAGAATAGTAATTAATACCACATATTGGCCTACTTTAGTGTTTAATGGAATTCAGACAAAAATTTAAGAAATGTTAGTTACGACTCTGAGCATTTAGTAGAGTTTCTGCATAGCCACATTTTAACAGCCAAAATACATTCTAAATTAAAAGGTAATACAGAAATGAGAATAATTTTGAGGAAGTATGATATGAACTTGGTCATGAATGGCTGGAAAGAACAATTAGTTAATTAATAAGTTTTAGTATATTTTTAATTTATGAGTCACAGCAAACAAAAACTATTTGATAATTGAAGTGAAACCCTTCTAATGGCACAATCACTGAGCCACTGTTAAGCCTCTTTCCCAGTATAACAGGCAAGTTTTCAAGACCTATTTTCACTAATTAAGGTCTGGAATACAGCTGAAAATTATGCTCTTAAACGTGGTCCTGGTAAGAGTCCATCAATAACAAAACTCACTGATTTGCTTTTTTTGTATTTCATTCATTAACCATCCTTTTAAATAAACATGGCTACAATCCTTTTTGTCCTGTTTGTTGGCTTGAAAAGTGGGACTCATGCAGTTCTGCCTAACCTCACACTTGCTATATGACCAAGAATGACCTTGAACTCCTGACTCTTTGGTTTCCTACTCCTGAGTGCTGATACTGCTAGGATTTCAGATGTGTGCCACCATATCTGATTACATTTCCACATTAAAATTAGCTCATTAAAAGGTTTTAAAATTGCATTTATTTATTGTGTGTGTCCCTGTGTGGTCAGGGCAACTTGTGAGAGTCAGTTATCTCCTTCCACAATGTAGGAGTCAGGGTCTAAATGGTAGCAAGCACCTTTACCCACTGACCCATCTTGTTGGTCCTCACTTTTAAATTGGAGAAAAATCTACATTACTTAAATTCTTAGCAAAACTAGGTTTTTGTTAAAGAATATGAGGCAATAGAAGTAGTTGGGAAAAAGAGTCACTCAAGGGTTTAGTCATCTTTACTCTTTAATGAAAACCAGTTCTTGAAGCCCCTTAAAGCCTATGGTAGTTGCTTCAAGACAGTTTGAAAACTACCATCTGCAAATATAGAACATCAGGAAACAAGCAAAGAGGCATGTTTTTAAAAGCAAACAGGAACTGGAGCGAAAATCATCCATCAGATGATGGCAGCAAGGTGGGAAGGAGGGATGGGTGGAGATTAGAAGGTCCTGTGGACACATGCAGCCCTAAAATGAATTAAAGAGATCTAAGAGAAACTGAGAAGTGGCCAGGGCTGCTTTCCTTGTGGACACAAGATTAAAACTTAGTCATGCATGGTTTTCAGGAAATGCCACAGTGGCTCAGAGAATAGATAGGCAACAGGCCAGCAGCAGCACCTTGAACACAAAAGCAAGAACAAGAAGGCACCCTCTCCACACCAATATCCCTCAGTTTTGGAGATCTCAGACAGAGCTGTTCCCGGCAAGAGCCACATGTGTGTCTGGGCATGGCCGTCCTCTGGGCTTAGAAAGCACAGTAATGAGTACTCTGAAGTTTCCTACATATTCCCTTGTCTGAAATGACTTTTTAAAGATAAACAAATCAATAGAACCTAAAAATTAATCCCCAAACTGAGATCTGAGATATCTTTTTTTTTTTTTTGAGATCTGACATATCTTGATGAGTTATCTTAAAAATATAAATACTATTTCCTTGCTAACATTTATATGGAGAAAATGGTCTGTGATCTTTTGTAAGATATATCTTCATTTAATTTATACACTTTAGATATCTATTTAAAGTCTTTAATTTATGAAAGGAGGAAAAAATGTCTATCTAATGATCAATAAGATAAGGCTCAAGGAAATGAGGAGAATCAATGGAGCGTATGCACAGGTGAGTACTAACCCAAAATGCACAGAGCTCTTTAATCACAGTCTGGCTAACTAGAAATGATTTCTGTAATTATACAAAGACTCACATTTACAATAATTAAAAAGGAAATTTTCTATTAAGTAACTGGATCATAGAAGGAAGCAATTCAAGAGGGGGAAAAGGTGTTTATGTAGTAATGATTAAAAGCAAGAGCTCTGAGCTAAACTGCCTAACCTAAACGTAAGAAACCATGGTACCTCAGAAAATGAACCACTCCTGGCTATGGAAAAATAGGAATAAAGTAATTTTATCAATAACAGAATTTAAAAAGAGATAGTATGTTTAAGGTGCCTAGAACAGGGCCAGGTATATTATAGGTATTCAAAAAATGTGAGCTGCTATTATCACTAACCTTATCTACTGTGATTTTGAATTTTATTTAATTATATAGATAGAAACACTGAAGACTGAGTGAAAGACTCAAATTCTACACCTCACAACTTCAGTAAAGGCATAAACTAAAATTAATCAAATTACTTTGCTAAATGAAGAAGGGTAAAAACAAGAGAATTGGATTTTACAGTACACTCTGTCTGGGATTTCCCTGTTAGGACTGCTGGCATGCAAAGCTCATGTAAGGCTGACCCAGCAAAGGCAGGTTAGCAAGTCAGTGTACTAGAAATAACCAATACATGATATACACACATTTGCCTCCACTTCCAGAGTAATCATCAATCAATGGATCAACTAAAGGTAAGCAGGAGGGAAAATACAAGAAGGGTCAAAGTTCAGATTCAAAATTGACATAGAGTGGGAATAGAGTAGCATTTGGAAGATAAAAAAAATGAAGATTCAGTAATATATATTATCATTTTCACAAATTATATTAATTAAAATACAGGTTCCAGTCAATAAGAGCTAAGTTGGAGAAGGGTTAGAAATCTGTTAATATTTCAAAGTATACAATATTTTTACATTAAAAATAAAAAATGTTTTATTAAACAAACCTATATTCTATCTGAATAAGCTATTTTATGGCAAGAACTTTTTTCTAAAATGCTGAGGCTAAAACCAGAGCTTTGCACATGCTAAACAATGAGCAATAATGAGCTGCACTGCCAACCACAACTTAGAAGTTGGATTACACACTGTATGAGAGATAACTGAGATTATAAAAAGCATGCACTATAAAAGCACACTGTGCAGCAGCACTTTCTGGAAGTCTAGCTCTTGAACTTGAGAGGAATTGGACTTTCCCTCTTCACTCTTCCATGGAGAACAAGGGCCATTCAAAGGCAAATCTTACTGAAAGTAGACTTGAATGGTGGGTTCTCACGTATGCATTATTACTACTACGTCAATCCAGGGAACAAAAGCTTCCAAGTAATATTTTTATGAAATGGTTAATTTTCCAGAATAAATTTAAAATAAAAAAAAAATGATTTGGATATCAGGGTTTATTGTACATAAAGAAAATTTGAGGTTATTTCACTGACATTTTAAGAAGAAACAACCTCATAAAACCACTTGTACTACCATTTAGTTCCATTAAATCTTTAAAATCTAAGCTTACTTTACTTACTTATTTGAGATATGGTCTCACTGTGTAGCTCTGGCTGGCCTGCAGCTCGCTGGGTAGATCAGGCTAGCCTCGAACTCACTGAGATCAGTCTGCCTCTGCCTCCCAAGTGCTCACCACACCCAGCCCTAAGCTTGTTTTAAATATAGAATCTGGAGAGAAAAATAAGAGTCTGTATGATCCTTAGTTCACTTACTATCAATAATATCTCCCAGTCCCTGAGCACGAAGAAGGTCCTTCAGTCGTGTTACTTCCTCCTTTAGCTCCCGAACCAGCTTGGCGTTAGGGTCCTCATTAATAACAGCATTGCATTTAATTTGTTTTGCACGATCTGCATATCTAGATACAAAAAGACAATGCATCCTTGCTATATCCCAGAGACTCTTCTCATAAATAACATGCCATTACCTCTAAACCAAACATTCTGACTACTTCCACATTTTAAGAACCTTGATAAATAAGTTATTTGTACGAGCACCTTACAGAGGTGACAAAGACTCAGAAGAATTTAAGTGGTTGGCTAAGGTCAAGAGAGACGCAAACCCAGTGTGTCAGTCCACAGAGTGTTCTCTTACTGAAAAAAAATACCCTTTTTTCAAAAGACTTATTTATTTATTTATTATATATACAATGTTTTGTCTACATGTATGCCTGCTCCAGAAGAGGGCACCAGCTCTCATTATAGATGGTGGTGAGCCACCATGTGGGTGCTGGGAATTGAACCCAGGTCCTCTGGAAGAGCAGTCAGTGCTCTTAACCTCTGAGCCATCTCTCCAGCCCTTAAAAATATCTTTAATGGGAGAAGGGAAGAAAGTTTCAGATTAAAATAGTCCACATGCAAAAGCCTGATGAATATTCTGTTGGTACTTTATCAGTGCTATATGTACTGATAACTGCATTACTTTTTACAACTTGAACATATCTATAAACTCTCTTTAGAAAGAAATGCTTCTATTAATAGAGATAAATACTATTAGAAAGTTTTATTATCTAAAAGTTATTTAAATATCTCAATCTCAACATCTTTCCTGTAAAAAAAAAAAAAAAAAAAAAAAAAAGCTCTAATTTATACCAATGAATCTGAAAGCCACAAAAGTAAACTCCATTATAACAAAAATAATTTCTCCCTTATTATGGAAAAAAGGATCAAAAAAACAACCCCTCACAGTGAAAAAAAATCTCTGGTACACAGAACTACTCAGCTACTGAGATCAAAGGAGAGTACCTCAGGGTGCTCAAAGTTTCATCATAGTTGATATCTGCTGGGCTCAGAGCAGCAACCATTGCAGTTCGAGAGTTTCCACCTAAGAAAAGAAATTGTGAGGCTCTCAAATTACACTCAGTATTTAGAAGAATTTTATTTACTGTGTTAAAGCTGACAGCAGTTCCTAAAATATAATTAAAAAAACAAACAAACAAACAATTTGTTTTTCTTTTTTTGGCTAGGTGCTGGTTTGAGCTAGCAAGCTTACTGCCTTCATTTCCTAAGTACTGTGATTACAGCTATGTGCCACCAAGCTCGGAACCCAATAACATTCTGAAATGTTCCCATGCTACGCACTGTTCCATTCATATTCTGCTTTCTGAATCTGCTAACTTCAGTTCCTGTTCTCCTCTTCCTTACGACCACTCTAGCCAGGTATGGTAGTACATGCCTACAATTTCTGCCCTGGAAGTGGTATCAATGCCAGCCTGGGTCCTGTCTTAAACAACCAAACACTCTAATCAAGATCTCCACCACTCCACCAAAACTGCCCTCAGTGATGGGAAAGTTGCTTGATTTCTTTTTCTTAATGAGGAGCAAGGAATGAAGAGAATGGCTGAAAGGTCAAAAAATATCAGTAGTACTATGTAGACTGTACTTTACTATGTAAAATTCAAAGGAATATGAGCTTTTAAGTATCTGAGACAAGGCTAGATAGATGCCTCCTTGATTAAGAGTGCTAACTACTTTTGCAGAAAACAGTGTCTGTGCCCAGCACCCACATGGTGGCTCACAACAACCTGCACCTCCAGGAGATGCAGTGCTGCCTCATGAGCTTTGTGGGTAGCACACACACACACAGCACACACACATACATGCAGGCAAACACTTGTGTACATAAAATAAATAAGCTTTGATAGGAGCAGGGAGATCTTAAGAAGGAACAACATTTGTAAGTAGCTGGATGAAGTGCAGAGAAGTAACTGTTCCTTAGTACGTGAATCTGTCCTGAAGGACGTGAATCCAACCAGGGAAAATCAAACTCAAAAACAGAACAAGACAAGAAACACTCAAGTGAGTTACTATGACTATCTAGAGATAATTCTTCTCCAAAACAGACACAGAATAATGGGCCACAAAAGACCATCATTAAACAGCTTTAAAATGACAACAACAAAATTAACTTGTACGAGTGGCCAACATACCTAGATTTTCTCGAAGGAGCCAAGTAAGCACAGAATCCCTGTAAGGAATAAAATCAGTTTTCTTCTTCTTTTTACTCTATTAAGGAGAAGAGAATAACTTTAGCAACATCATGGAGAAAATGTGTATGAAAAGCAAACCAGTCTAAAATTCTGAAGTAAATCAAACTGTAACAGAATTCCATTATGACGGAAATGTTCTATTCAAATTTCAATTCTTCAAAAAGCACATGCATTTCATTTTAAAATCTTTATAACAAAAAGTCAAGAGAATGGTATTACAATGTATATGTAATATTTTGCCATTACCCAAACACTTGAATAAATTGCAAACACAAAGTCTAAATACTTCAGCAGATACATAGTATATAAGGAACAAATTTAATGATTTTTAAAAGATTTATTTATTTGTTTATTATACAGTATTCTGCCTGCATGTGTGCCAGCAGGTCAGAAGAGGGCATCGGATCTCATTATAGATGGTTGTGAGCCACCATGTGGTTTCTGTGAATTGAACTCAGGACCATTGGAAGAACAGCCAGTGTTCTTAACCCCTGAGCTATCTCTCCAGTCCCCAAATTTAGTATGTTTAGTACTGTAATACTATTTTCTAATATCCTATCCATGTCTTTAGACCATGTCTTTAAAATACTAACTTTAAAGAAAACCCAGCATTTAACTTATAAACACTTCAAGCACATTATTTTTGACAAGGAGTTAAAGAAATAGCATAACCAAAATCAGCACTTGATACACCAGATAATGCCCAGTTTGGTTCCCAAAAGGAGAAAGCCAGCTACCAAATGTCCTCAAACACCTGCACATGTACCTTAGCACATGTCTGTCCACACAATAATAAAAACAAATCTTTTAAAATAAAACCCCAAAGGTGGAGTAAACAAACACATTAAGCATTTGAATACTAAAATATTTTAATACAAATACTGCCTCAAAAAAGTTTAAATACAAAAAAGATTAAAGTAATTGTAGAGAAATACAAGAAGGAAAAACTATATACCACTGGGTAAAGGAAGATATAAAGTCTTTTCTAGCTTCAGTTAAAAGTTTAAATTGAAAAAAAAAAAGTTTAAATTGATTCTATAGCCTTTACTTTATCTATGTATAACCAAATAATAGAAAAAGATGTTTTAAATAACTCATAAACTTCTATGGTGGGAAATAAGATAAAATAGAATTTACATATATTAGTAATATATAAAACTGTTTTATCTTACTTGTTTCCAATAATTTCAATAAATTAGCTATGCTTTTTACAGGACTCCTGTAAATTCAACTTCCTCCTTTTTTTGAGCGGTTTCCGAACTATTCAGAGATACTTTAGAGACCAGTGGAACAAACCTGACACAATGTAAAAGCCTCCTCAAATTTCTCTCTTGTTCCTTTATTTTTATTCCTTCTCCAAAGCACTTTATGTTCCTTAATTCTGCTGTGAAGTCTCATGATTCACAGCCACCCTAAATAATCATTCTAAATTCCAAAGCCAGAAAAAAAATGAGAAAATCTTTTTGAAGGTTCTATTCTAACTTATGCCCTATTTATTCTCTAAAAATGTTAAAACCATAGAGCTAATAATTTAGCTAGTTCACTGTGACCAATCCCCCACCGTACCTTGCTCGTGCAGTTATCCTAAAAATGAAAGCATTTAAAGGAAAGAAAAGGAACACAGGATAAGCCTCTAGAATAAATCGAAATCAGAATGCTTTCTAGAGACAAGGAAAGATTTAATTCTTTTTAGTGATTTAAATGACTAATTAATCTACATTAGGACATACAAAAACTACCTTAGGTCTTAAGTCTAAATAATGAACAGCATACAAATTTTGGTTTAGCTTTAGTGTGCCAGTGTTGCAAAAAGAAGTTTTAATCTACATAAGTAACACAGAGACAGCGATGGTCTTTTAAGATTGTGATGGCATTGAAAAATTACAATGTTGTTACTGTCTTCAGGTGGTGGCACAATGCATTGTTTGTAGAAACATTGGTGGAAACAAACCTACTAAACAGCCAGTCATATAGAACACACAGTACACATAATTGTGTTCAATACATGGCATATATAGAATATCACTATACTATTTGCCCCATGGTTTTAGTATATCCTTTTTACTTACTACAATGACAAAATCAGCTAATGGTACATTTCTAAAAATGCATTCATCTCATTATACACGACTGTATGTTAAGAACATATATTATTGGCTTCTAAATCAATATCATTCTCCAAAGCCACCTTGCTCAAAATATTCCAAAAATACTATATTCTAACATGAGACAATGTGGGAAAAGCTACAAAAATAGATTTGGATATTATGAGGTGTGAAGTAAGGTTCAAAAAAAATTAATCAAATTTTAGCTCTAGCTTCACATAGCTATAGTTGTTTTCATTCTACCTTCAATACAAAGTCAAATTGTATTATACTCTAGTCCTACCTGAAAAAAATTTAAAAATCATATAAAAAGGTCAAACCCAGTACGGTCTTCATATGGAGGCACAAGTATCAGCATGCTTATTTGCTAAGCAGACACTTCATGTTAGAGTGAAACAGAAAACTTACCACCTCCGCCAAGGCTGAAATGACTTTGCCCAGAGTTGTAAGAGACTTATTAATATTTGCACCTTCCTAAAATAAACACCAAACATGAAACTTTAAAACAAATAATTTCTACTACTGCACACCATTCATTTTGCTACAAGCTGAGCATATCTGCTTCTTTATGACATAAGTTCTAAAGACTCCTATAGCCTTTGATCTTTCCTCTGCTCACTTGGTAACATGCTGAGACCACATGCCCACCTCCCAATCCTTCTGCCTTCAACATGCTTTTGCTACAAAATGGTACAGAAGGAAGGCTTCCTTTCACAACGCAACAACATGAAAGGCCTGTCCCTGTTAAACAATATCTCTGTCAAAGCCCCACACTTGTTCTTACATCTGTATCTTGTATACCCCATTCCCATTACTGTCTCTCCCATCTAGCCAAATTTTGCCCATTTCTCAAAATATAATATGACCCTCACTCCTAACCATAAACTCTTCCCTAAGTATTTTGTTATCTAACTTATCATTTTATTGAAATTATAGACCAATAATTTGGATTTTTTTCATTAAAAATTAAATTTAAAAATTGGGTTTGGGCCAGTTGTAGTGTTGTAAGGCTTTAATCCCAGCATTTTAGAGGCAGAGGCAGGTGGATCTCTATGAGTTCAAGACCAGCACGGTACATGAAGTGAGTCCAAGACAGCCAGGGTACTGTTACATAGAGAAACCCTGTCTTTAAAAACAAAAAGAATAATTTTTTTTAAATTATGTTTTGTGGCTCACACAGTCTCTGGTGCAGCCCTCTACTGCAGCACATAAGCAGCAAAGGGCGAGGGCACAGCACAGTTGACTTTGCTATGTGCACAAAATTCCAGGGCCCATCTCCAGCACCAAACGGAGACATGCAGGCTGTGCTTATAATCTTAACACTCAGGAGACAGAGGCAGGAGGACCACAGTTCAGTCTTATCCAAGCTATATAATACATTCAAGGCCAGCCTGGACTACATGAGAACCTGTATTCAAATAAATAAATTAGTAAATGCTACCATAAACAATATACAATTAAAACATACAGCTCTCTCTCAATAGAATTTTGTTTGTAAAACTAGGCAGTAAGTAGATTTGGGGCCTAGCCATAATTTATAGACCTATGATACAAAACACTGAATGACTGGACCATTTTGCTAAAATAAATACCTTTAATCGAGTTCCTTTGGCACCAGTTGAATCAGCTCGTTCACTTCCTGCTAGATCCACCAAGCTGATCTTACTGACCTAAGTGAAGAACAATAACATGGAAATTAAAAAATAAGCAACATGGCTAGGTGTGCTAAGACATGACTGTGATTCCAATATTCAGGAGGCAGAGGCAGGAGGATCAGCCCTGAGCTCAAAGACCATAAGCTCTATATAGTGATAATGAGCTCAAGACTTTAAAAACAACAACAACAAAACCAAGAGTAGGCTTTATACTTGGGAAGCATTCGAGGTAGATTTCTGTGAATTGTAAGCCAGTCTGGTCTCCAGGCCAGGAGACATAGTGAGGCCGTGCCTTGTACACACCCTGACCTCTGTGTGTAGCACATGTGCGTACACACACATCCTCGGGTACACACATCAAGCCTATTCGAGTGGCGTATGAGAGACGGAGCACTGAGCAGCTGCAGCTCTCATAATCTTTTGGTGGCAATAATTTAAAAACTGTTTAGCTGTTTCCTTTTTTTAAAGACTTACTTATTTATTATGTATATAATGTGTGTTTACATGTACACCTGCATGGCAGAAGAGGGCACCAGATCTCACTGTAGATGGTTGTGAGCCACCATGTGGTTGCTGGGAATCGAACTCAGGACATCTGGAAGAACAGGCAGTGCTCTTAACCTCTGAGCCATCTCTCCAGCCCCCTGTTTAGCTGTTTCTTAAGAAGCTAAGTATAGCTTTAGTATATAGCTTATACTTTATATATACTTTAGTTATAAAGTATAGCTTTATAACTCAGGAGGCAGAGGCAAGCAAACCTCTATGATTTCAAGGCCAGCCTGGTCTACACAGTGAGTTCCAGGATAGCCAGGGCTACATAACAGGGAGATCCTGCCTCAAAAGATAAAAAACAAACAAAAAAAACCCCAGACCTAAACCCAGATTCTAAATATATCTGCCGCAAGACTCAATTCTACTTTTCATTATTTACCAATAGAAATAAAAACAAAATAAAATTCAAATTGCCAGCTGTGCATGGTTTGTATAACCTGTGTCCCCAATACGTGGAGCTGAGTAAGTATAAGGTCAACTTGAACTATAGAATGAAACAAGTTCTCAGAAAAATAAGAAACAAAACAAATCTCCACACACACATACACAAATGTGCATAAGACCAGGTGAATTAAACAGTAGAATATTTGTCAGCAAAGAAAAGGAATTAAGTATTGACATAATAACAAATAATATCAAAATTATTATAAGCAAAAGAAATGTAGCAAAAAATATAGTATATATCTCATCTACATAAAATTATACTAAATATAAACTAATCTAGTGACAAAAAACATACTAAGAACTGCCTGGATTAAAAAAAAAAAGAAAGAAAGAAAGACTGCCTGGATGATGCAACAGAGGGGACAGAAAAATACTATAAAGTTATGAAACAACTTTTTAGAGTAACAAATATTCTCAGTATACTTATTATGTCACATAGGTAAGCATTCATCAAAAATGGTCAAATTCTATACTTTGACAATTTTCAGGATAGTTTAGACAAAAGTCTCCAGAAGGGATTATTTGGGGGTTTTTGTTGTTGTTGTTGTTTGATTTATTTTATTTTTTAAATATTAGCTACAGTTTATTAACTTTGTATCCCTAGCTGTAGCCCACTCCCTCATTCCCTCCCAATCTCACTCTCCCTCCCTCTTCTCTTCCCTGCCCCTTTCCAAGTCCATAGATAGGTAATGTCTCCTCTCCTTCCATCTGACCCTAGCTTGTCAGATTTCTTCAGGACTGGCTGCATTGTCCACCTCTGAAGGGATTATTTGAAAAGTTGCAGGGTTAGGTGCAGCTCAATGGCAGAACACTTATTTAGCATCCAAAAAAACTGGTTTCAATTAGCTGAAACAAAAAATAGTCACTAAGCATAAATGATTCTAGCTTCTAGTGACAACACTATCAGAAAGCACTCACTTTACCAGGCAAAAGGCAGAGAACCCTGTCAAAGTACCAGTACAGTAAGTCTAGAGTCATGTCCACCACATGAGGACATAGCACAGTGGTGCAGCACTTATCTAACGTGAATGGGAACCTATGTTCAGTTTGAGCACAACAATAATACAGCTGAATGAAACTTAAGATTTTAAGTGGCATCATCATAAATACTTTTATTAGGTACGACAACAAAATTAACAAATACTGAGTGGCCACTTGATGCCAGACACTATTATATGCACTTACCCTACATTAATACTTAATCCTTTTAACAACCCACTGAAGTTGTCACAGAAGGAGAAATCAGAGGCATACGGAGGTTAAAGGTAATTTGCTCAAGGTTATGCAACCTAGAAGTAGTAAAGTCAAGACTCAAAGCATTCAATTTCAGTCCAAGATCCAACATATTTAACCACTAATAAGATGAGAAATTATCAATCCAATGTGGCTGGGGAAAGCTTGTCTAGCATGCTAGATGTATTCCTTTCCTAAAGCAAAACAGACAGCTACAAAGGAAAACAAGGGGCTGGGAATAGCTCAGCAGTAGTGTCTGCCCACCATGCAATAGGTTCTTAGTTCAATCCTCAGTAACAAAACAAACAAGCAAGCATAGGTATTTATTAGACAATATTAGAGTTGTTACAGAGTTTTTTTCCAGGAATGAAGTGTGCTTAATCACCACAGACATCAGTGCAGTAACTTTATCAATGAACAATATTGTTGTCCAGTCAAAAAGAAAAAGTATTTTTTCCTAACAGAACCACTTAACTGTCCTTGCATAAAATAATTAAGCTACTAGACCCAAGGTTTTAAATTTTAACTGTGTTTTCTATCTTTCAGTTCCATTGAAGACCCACACTGAAAACTGGTGAGTAGAAATTAAAAACCACCTCCACTAAGTAAAAGAACAACACTTATCCTGTACAAAACAAAAAACAAAACAAAACAAAAAACAAAAACAACAACAAAAAACTAATGCAGAGGGTAGTAGTATAAGCGGAATTTCTCAAAATTTCTCCACAAAATCTCTTCACAGCTCAAGAGATGAAAAGCTCACCTACCTTTTCAGTTGAAAGGTTAGTCTCAGAATCGTGTTTCTTCTGAGTGAAAACGATGGTAAACACAGCGTGGGAACGGCTGCTTGTTTCATTCATGTTGGTGGCTGCCACCGTCCTAAATAACCCAAAGGTGACCGGTTGACAAGAGATTTTTTCCGTGAGAGTTAAAACAGACAGCAGCTTTATGCAGCCATACATGACAATCACTGACAACAGCCTTAGGTTTACTTAGACTGGAGACTGTCACTTTCATGATTGCCCTAGATGCTGTCTTATTCGTGAGCCCATCAAGTTACCCTACAACTCAAAGGCTCCCAATCAGAATCGCTTTTCAGATTCCAGCTCTCCCTTTAGTAATCACCAGAGCGTTTAATTTTTATTCTGTATTATGTGTTCATTTATTCCAAAATCAACGCCTACCACAGCCTCAGTAGACATTACAGCTGACACTTTACCATGACTTAATCAACACCCAAGAGTTAACCTGTTTGAACAATGCACCACTTTATGGAAAAGACAGCTACTTAATATGTTGAAGCCTATACCTCTCCAGCATAGCCAAAGACCCAAAGGGGCTCTACAATTAAAGCAACTTTCAAAGGTACAAATGTCACTTTAATCCTTATGACAAAATCAAAGGACCTCAGAATATGGCAAAGGATTCAGTAACTGGTCTATATCCTACCATACCTGGCTTTGTTCCCAGCGTCCATGAGGTCGGCAATGTCCGTGTAGGAAGTGACTGCCAGCTTGGACAGATCCTCCACATAGGGTCCAAGAAGAGGGTGTTCACGCACACGCAAATTACCCTTGTTTTTGGGATTCAGCAAATCTCGTACTCTCTCACAGTAAATTTCCATGTAGCTCACCTAGGAACATTTTATTAAAGTAAATCAAAGAATCTGGAAAAGATATATACACATTAAATACTTTTTCCAAACTAAGCATAGTTATAAAGACCTTGAAAACTCAGAATTTCAGGAGGCAGAGACAAAAGGATTATATATATTCAAAGTCAGCCTAGATTTAAAGGAGAGAGAGAAGGAGGAAGAGAAATCTTGTCTCATTTTAAAAAATGATTTAAAAAAACGGGGGGGGGGGGGGACTGAGCGGTGGTGGCACACACCTGTAATCCCAGCACTTGGAAGTCAGGCAGATCTCTGTGAGTTCAAGGCCACCCTGGTCTACAAAGCAAGTCCAGGCCAGCCAATATATATATATTATGTGTGTAGACACGCTGTACAATTACCAGTTAGCACACCACAGCCATGGGCCCTTCGCTAGCACTATGTGCAGATATCATGCTGCACGGGCACTCCCTCAAGAAGGAAGATGCAAACAGGTACACATCCCAGCTATTTTTCTAAGGCAGAGATTATGTTTTTAGTAGAACTTTATTATTAGTACCTCTTCTCTTCTGTTTTTGTTTTTTTAAAGATTTATTTGTTTTATGTATGAGTGCTCTATCTGCATGTTTGCCTGCATGACACAAGAGGGCATCAGATTTCATTATAGATGGTTGTGAGCCACCATGTGGGTGCTTTGAATTGAACTCAGGACCTCTGGAATGACAGACAGCACTCTTAACTGCTGAGCTATCTCTCCAGTCCACCCACTCTCTTTTGAAGCAGTGTCTTTATAGCTAGCTAAACCAGGGCTCAAACTTGCAATCCTTCTGCCTCAGCCTCCCAAATACTGAGATTACAGAAATGCACCATCTCAACCAGCTTTATTGGCATATTAAAAATGCATGTTACTGTCATTATTGAGGCTTAAAGCGAGGTTATTTCAAAAGCCTAGAAATTAATAGTCCTATCAGTTTTAAAACCAAAGAACAATATTCAGAATAGATAAAACAAAAGAGACCAAGGACTAATTCTTCTGTTGTGTGTGTGCGTATGTGTATGTGTGTGGACACACATGTGGACATGCATGTGAATGCTAGAAGTAAAACTCATCTTGGGTCCTTCCTCAGACACCATAAACTGTTTGTTTGTTTGTTTATTTGCTTGGCATGAAGCTTGTAGACAAGAGAATAGCAGGGACCAGCTGTTCCTGCCTGCCTGCTCAGAGCTGGGATTCCACACTCAGTCCACCATATTGGCTCCTTTACAGCAAACTCTTTAAACTGAGCTGTCTCCAGTCCAGCAACTATTTCTTTAGGATTGACCACAGTGTTACTAACTTCGGACAATGCATCCACTAGAAGGATAATGGCTAATAAATTACAATGGCTTACTGAAGACTTAGGAAGACTCAGACAATATAGTCCATGAAACCTTGTCCCATCAGTAGGACGTTCCTATCATGGTGATGAGGAGTCATGCCATAATCTCCTAATGTGAAGCAGTTTTTGTCTAGTCAATTCCCTTCTCTAATTCCTTGCTCATCAAATCATCAGGATTTACACAGAAAAACAACACGATAGTCATGCAAATGTGGGTAGTTATTCCTCATAGAAAATTAGTAAACCAACATGTTTCATAACATCAGCCAAATGAAGTTCACTCAAGCCTGCACTTTGTCAAAGTGTTGAGAATAAGCGACTGTTGAATGCTTAGCCCCAAATGAATATCTATATCACCCCTAGATATATTAAACAAAATCAATCAGGGTCAGAATTTTTAAAAGTCTAACTTTGATTCCTCACCCTCACCTACCCCAGTGCTGGAGCCCAGTGCCTCTACAAGCAAAGCAAGTATGCTAATGCTGGCTACATCCCCAGGCCAAGGAGTACAGCTGTGACTTCAGACTTCAGGCACATGGATCTCAAGTGTACCACAGCATGCTACATTATGATGCTTCCTAGAAATTAGACTCTTCCACATCACAGCTTTTTGGGCATACAAAAAGCTTTATACTTCTCAATTTTACATTTTAAATACATTTTCAGGGTACCTAAAATAGAACCCCTTTCATTCTGACCTCTGCTTCTATACAGCATTTTAAAAGAAAAAATTTAAGCTGGGTGATGGTGGTGCATACCTTTAATCCCAGCACACAGAAAGCAGAGGCAGGTGGATCTTTGTGAGTTTGAGGCCAGCATGGTCTACAGGGCAAATTTTCAAGGCTACATAGAATGATCCTGTCTCCACCCCACCCCCCTGAAAAAAAAATCAAATCAACAAGTCTTAAGTAAAAATAATTGATCCATGAAGAGTAATACAAGATCCCAAGGTTCTTTCTGACAGACTGTTAACACACACCTCAGGCTACCCATCTCTCCAGCCGCTGTACTTTAATCATTCTTGTCTACTTAAACTTCTATATACAATCCTGAAACTCAAGAAGATAAATATTTCATGACTTCTTTTACTTTTGAACCAACCTTACAGATTCCACTTGGAAAACCCAGTTTTCTTCATATGACTGCCTTCTAACCACTGTTTCAGGCACTTGGCAGAAATCAATAAATAAGATACCATGCTAGTGAGTTTATGATTCTAGCAATAACAGACTAACAAGAACAGTCAACATTAAAAAATAATAACAATTAGTAACCAGGAAGAGATGGCTCAGGGGTTAAAAGCACACACTGTTCTTACAAGACTCTAGGTTGATTTCTAGCACCAATGTTGGGCTGCTGGCAACTGTCTGTAATTCCAGATCCAGTGAATCTGATGCCCTCTTCTGGCCTCCACAAAACCTGCACTCACATAAATACCCATACACAGACATATACATAAGCAAATATATAATCTAGGGGCTAGAGAGATGGCTTGGTGGTTAAGAGCACTGCCTTCTCTTCCAGAGGACTGGGTTAAATCCCCAGCACCCAACAGCTCATAACTGTCTCTTAACTCCATTTCCAGGGGATCTGACACCTTCACACCAATGCATATGAAATAAAATTAAATTTAAAAAATATAATCTATAGGCCAGTAAGAGGGTTCAGTGGGTAAAGCACTTTACCACCAAGCCTGGAACCCTAACTAAGTTCAATCCCCAGGATCCATACGCTGAAGGAAGAGTCATAAACTGTCCTCTGACCTCCACATTTGCACAGTGACATGCACATCCTCTACTCCCCAGCACACACAGTAATAAATGTAAAAATGAAGTTATAAAAAAAGTAACCTACGAAATATGTTAGAACAAGACAAATACACTCTAGGAAAGAAAAACAGAACAAAGCAAGAAATCAGAGTGTTGGGGTAGAGTCAAGTTCTAATATTAGCGTAATGGTCAAGGCACCAAGAGAGCAAGACTTGAGCAAGAATTTGAAAAAGGAAGGCTGAAGTTTAAACAAAGAGATATCCAGCAAAAGGCCTAGGAGTGTGGTTCAGCCTAGTATATATGAAGCCTTAGGTTTAATTTCTAGACTAAAAAAAGAAAATTAAAAACAGGGTTGGGGGACAGCAAGATAGCTTAGCAAGCAAAGCAGCTTGCTGCTAAGCCTTGACAACCTGAGTTCTGTCCCCGCGTGCAACATGGTAGAAGAAAATCAACTGTAAGCTGTCCTCCGATCTCATGTACCGTGGCACTTGTGTGACACACACACAGAATAAATAAATGAAAAATAATTTTTAAAATGTTAGCTATGTAAGTAGAATCCTTGCCTAGTATTCATAGCCCTAGGTTCAACTTCCAACATTAGTAAACTAGGTATGGTGGCATACACCTATCATACCAGCACTAAGGTGGACAAAGGAGGGTCAAAGTTCAAGATAATCCTGGGCTATACAGTCTGCCCAGGCATAAATGACAATTTGTCTCAAAAAAGAAAAAACTTACACATAATCAATCATTACAAGGCTGGGCATATAACTCAGTGGTAAAGTGCTTATGTGACTCCCTGTGTACAATCTTGAGTACTACAAAAACATAAATAAATATATTTTTTTAATTCTGGGAAAAAATATATTCACCCTGAGAGGTAAGCCATGCTTCAATAGATGGCCCTACACCCAGGCATATACTGGCAGTACTAAATGAACTCACTGAAGCTAAAATTAAAAAAACAAAAATGTGAAATTAGAAGTCTACAATGGTGATGGAGGCAGGGAATTGGAAGGGAAACAAAGGGAGGAGGAGTTCATCAAAATGTATTATTCAATCAAGGAATTCTCAAACAATTAACAAAAAGATATCCAGAGGAAGACAATAGGAAGATTATATACTAAGTCCTTGAGAGAGGAATGCTACTGCTCCCTCCATTATAGAAACTGAGAAAAAAACAAAGTCAGTATGGCTGGGGCAAACTGGTGCAGAAGTGATAAAAAGAGGTCAGGAAATGTAGCAAGGAACCATAGTGTCCACCAGAGCTTGAAGGTGCACCCCACATGATGTCTGGAAACTTTAATGGTATCCTCCCTTATTTCCTATAAGCTGAAAAAGTCCTCATCTGACTTAAAAGAATTGTCATAAGATGAGACAAGCTAGTTAAACAGAAAATTAAAATGAAGCTCACTCCCTTTTGGTATATGATAGCCATGAGTGTTAGAGACTTTGATCATGTTATTTTCCTACATTGCTGACATTTTAACCAGAACTTTTTGAAAATTCAAAAATGTGTGCAACCATTAATTAGCAATGAATTGAATAAAACAAGTAGGAACTATGTAAGTACTGTCAAAAATCACATCACATATCAAAAAAAAAAAAAAAAAAAAGGAGGAGGCAGTGGCAGCAGCATTAGCTGAGCAGGTTGGCACATGCATTTATTCCCAGCACTCAGGAGGCAGAGGCAGGCAGATCTCTGTTGAGTTCATGGCCAGTTTAGCCTGGTCTACAGAGTGAGTTCCAGGACAGCCAGAGCTACACAGAAAAACCCTGTCTTGAAAACAAAACAACAACAACAAAATTACTAGGATTTTCTTAAAAGGCAGCTTTATTTCCCAGAACAGTAGATTCATGTTAAAAAGCATCTCCATTGCTTTAAAACCCCATACACAAAGAATGTTTTCCTCTGTGTGTGCATCAGCAGCTTCAAAATCACATACTTACTAGCTATATTAAGAAGAGAGCTCACATCAAGTAAAAAAGATTGTGACTCCCAGATATAAATGAAGTTTGTGTTGGTGTTACTGTAGTAAGTGTAACTGCCTTGCCTTCGAAACATTAAGCAAGTGTGCATATAATTTACAAGACAGTCAGCCACAGTAATAATCAAAGAAATTAAAATTTAACAAATAATTGTGTATTACAAAATGGTCAAAACCATGTACCATTTGTTTTTCTTTTTGACTGTTTGTAAGTATGTATTTGTAAACATGTATGCAGGTGTCATGCCTGCCAGGCAAGCTACAGGTGAATGTGGATACTGATACGGTGCTGCAAACACAACTCAGAGCTTCTGCAAGTGCAGTCCTCATTCTTAACTCCTGGGCCATCTCTCCAGCCTCAAATTGGCAAAGAGTTAAAAATAAAAATACTAAGTATTTAAAAGAGCAGAACCGTTGCCAATTTCTCCTGGAAGAAAGAAAACTGCTACAGTCTTTCTAAAAGGCCATTTGCCAATCAAATGTATCACTTACTAACCAAGATACATATTAACACTCAAGTGATACAGAACTCTGAACAATCTTAATTGCAACATTATTCATTATAAACAAACCTTAGAAACAGACTAAATCCTTAAAATCAAGGGACTACTTTAAATGAGTAGCAACAAAGTCACAACTGAGAGCCACTTAACACAATTTGAGATAGCCTAGCTAAGGCAAAGAGCTCCTTCCACCTATAATCCCAGCACTGGAGAGGCAGTAAGTAGATCTCTCTGACTTCCAAATCAGACTGGTCAACAAGGACAGCCAGAACTAATAAAGAGACCCTGTCTTTTAAAACAAACAAACAAAAAGCAATGGGGGCCTAGTGTGATGTGAGCACGGAAAGGCCATTTCCACCAAGCCTGACAATCCTTGGGATCCACATAGCGGAAGGAGAGAATCAACTCTGGCAACTTCCATTCCTGTATTCCTACATCATGGCACTTCATTGTACGTGTATGCACATGCACAAAAACATCAGACAGACAGGCGGACAGACAGACGATGGATAGATAGATAGATAGATAGATAGATAGATAGATAGATAGATAGATATAGATGGATAACAGATAATTAAATACAGGAATATTTTTATAAAATAACACAGAGCCAGGCATGGCAGCACACACCTTTAATCTTAGCACTCGGTAGACAGAAGCAGATGGATCTCTGCAAGTTTGAGGCCAACTTGGTCTACACAGCAAGTCCAAGACAGCAAGAACTGCACAGAGAAACCATCTCGGGTAAAAGAAACAACAACAATAACAAAAAGAAAGAATATGCCTGGGCACAGTGGCACACACCTGTAATCCCAGCACTCAGGGATTACCCTTGTCTTGAAAAACCAAAAAAAAAAAAAGACGAAAAGTCTGGACGGGGTGGCAGAGGCAGGCAGATCTGTGTGAGTTTGAGGCCAGACTGGTCTACAGAGTGAGTTCCAGCTACATTAAGACTAAGACTGCATCAAGAGGCCCTGTCTCCAAGACAAGAAAGAGAAAGACAAGAAATGAAATGAAATGAAGGGATAGGAATACAAAAGTCCCTGGTTTCAATAACAGCTATACTCACCTCTACAGAGTAAGACATTTCTTCATTACAGTTGTCATTGATCTTCTCAAAAAGTTCTTCACACAACTAGGAAAGCAAAATGAAAGGGTCTGTGAACAGCCCAAATCAGACATATTACATCATCCACAGCATTAGAGAATTAATTAGTAAGATATTCTTTCTGTTTCCCCAAATATGCATGTCATAAACCTCAAACACAATATTTCAAATAAAAATTAAAATATGCTTCTTATTTTTATTCTCCTTCAACAGAAAACTGATATTATTTCCTTATCCAAATCTGATTCTTCATACTGTGCCCAAATAACTAATTATATATCATTATAGCAATAAAACTAACTAAAAATGAGCATAAAACTTATGATCAAAGACTTAACTGCAATAGCCTGCATGTGGTGGTGCACACCTTCAAGCCCTGTATTTTGGAGGCAGAAGCAGGGGGAGCTCTGTGCGACCTAGGCCAGGCTGCTCTACAGAGTGAGTTCTAAGAAACCCAGAGTTACATAGTGAAACTCTTTCAAAAGGCAAAAGAGCAAACAAAAAACAAAAACTTCACTGCAACATTACTCATCACTATCAAAACTTAGTCTAAAGAGGGTATGGGGACTTACAGTTCAGTGCAGTTGAAAAAGTGCTTGCCTAGCATGTTCAAAGCCCTGGGCTGGATCTCCACAACCCCATAAACTGGCATGAGAGCACACCCACAAACTAAAATAATAAATGGGATAGAACTGTAGTTAACTGCAGAGTACTGTTCTAGAACATGAGGCCCTTGGTTCTATCCTCAGGACCACAAAAAAAGGGAAAATAAAAATATATTCCTTAGAGAAGATCTATACAGGAACTTCTAATGAAACCAGAACAACATTGCCTGAGTGTTCCAAGGTTTAGAAAAAAGCTTTAAGAAGCTGAGAACACTAAAAGATAGGATAATATGGCAGTGCAAATTAAATTAAACGGTTTTTAGAAAATGTTAACTTGCTTATCTTAAAAATCTATATATATACAAGCCTATTTTTTTCCCTCTAAATAGTAAGCACCTTTGAGGAAAATAAACAGGTCGTCTTGGTGCCTAAATTCCAGTCCCTGAATACATTTTTGCCAAATAAAAAGCAATTTGAGACTGAAAGTATTTATTGATAGTCACAGATGCTTTACCTGTGGTATGATGCCAGCCTGGCTTTCTTCTTGTTTCCCCATCATTGTGTAGGATTTCCCAGCACCAGTCTGCCCATAGGCAAAAATACAGACATTATATCCTTCAAAGGCATGTAAGAGCATTTCCTTCCCGATGTCATTGTACACACGACTCTGCGATGCAAAACAGGGGTCTTCAGGCTGTAAAGATTAGGAAGAAAAGTTATGACGTTTAATAATATTCTTCCCTTATATTAATTGACTGCTTCCGTATTTCAAAACATGTTTGGAATCAGAGTAGTCATTTAAACTATATTATACGTTTTAAAAGACCATTCTACACTTTTTTTTTCATTTTACAGACAGACACATAGAGAGATACCATAGTAGTTGGAGCGCAAAGATTTTCTTAAGTAGAAAATAGGAATAACAGACCAGAAGTCAAGTTCACATATAAAACTACTTCTTTGAACTCACTGTAAATAGTGTGGCTCTTTTCAATAAATACAACTTTGGTGAGGAACATTTCCAATTCCTCCCTCAACCTTTTCCTTGATGATTAGGCTTTGTGGATAGTTTGGAACATCTCTCCTCAGAAAACAGGAAAAACTTAAAATGTCTAAGAAACAGATGGCACAGAAATGGAAGCAAACTCAAGTTTAGAAGCAGTCTGTAAAAGTCAACAAGATTTCTATATTGACTAAAGCTGTCAGGGAAGAATCAAAATACTTGATTAAAGTAACTACTTTATTCTTCAGGTAGTAGTCTCTGTGCCAAAAATGAACTAATGGCTGGGTGTGGTAGCACCAAGTTTTAATTTCATCACTGAAAAGGAAGAGGCAGGAGAATCAGGAATTAAAGGTCAGCTTCAGCTACACATAGTAAATTCAAAGCCAAATGAGACCCTGTCTTTTTTTTTTTTTTTTTCTTTTAGGTTTTGTTTTTGAGAGTGTCACTATGCAGCCCTGGCTGCCTGCAACTCAGGGAGCCTCTGCCTCTGCTTCTGACTGCTGGGTGTAAAGGTGTGTGCCGCCACACCAGGGCTTCAAAACAATTGTGTTAAAACTTAAAATTGGGAGCTCGAGAGATGGCTTAGGGGTTAAGAGCATTGGCTGTTCTTCCAGAGGACCTAGGTTCAATTCCAACACCCACATGGCAGCTCACCACTGTCTGGTCTGTAACTCAAATTCCAGTGTTCTGATTCCCTCACATGGATATATATGAATGTCAAATGTACATAAAAATAAATAAATTTTTTAAAAATTTCAAATCAAGGGCTAGAGAGATGGCTCAGTGGTTAAGAGCATTATCTGCTCTTCCAGAGGTCCTGAGATCAATTCCCAGCAACCACATGGTGGCTCACAACCATCTATAAAGGGATTTGATGCTCTCTTCTGGCATGCAGGTATATATGCTGATAGGGCACTCATACACTAAATAAATAAATAAATCTAAAAAACAACAACAACCTTTAAAAAATTAAAATCAAGAGGCTGGGGATATGGCTCAGTGGGTAAAGGGCTTCTGTGCAAACATGAATGCCTAAGTTTAGAAAACCAGCACCACATAAAAGCCGCCCTGAGGAGCATGCATCTTCACACGCAGCTTCATGTAAGTTCTCCGGAGGAGCCTAAGGCTCACTGAACAGTCTAGCCAGTCTGAGAGCTGTAGATTCAGAGAAGCCCTGGTTCAATATGGTGAAGTGATGGAGGAGGACACCAGCTACCAACCTCTGGTCTCCACATGTGCGCACATGCACCCCCTGCACATGCACACTCACACACACACACACACACACACACACTACACGAATGAACAAATAAATAATTTTTTTTTAAATGAACTCATGAACTGACAGTTTGTTACCCTGGTGTTGTGGCTCTTGCCTGTAATTCCAGCACTTGGGAAGGTAGAAGGTAAGTCAGGAATACTGGCACAAGTTTGAGGCTAGCCTAGGGTATACAGTGAGTTCAATGCCAATGTGGGCAATGAGATCTGTCTCAAAAAACAAAAGACAAACAAACAAGAACAAAACACTAATCTACCCCTCAAACATACACAACTCATCCTTGACGACAGCCAGAAAATAAGAACTGGATCTTGGAACATCTAAGGATAAAAGAAAGCAAGAAAGGAAAAGGCAGGCAGTACACTCACCGAGGTGTGAGACCAGTAAGAGTAGTCAAAGCTGAAGGACTTTGGTGCTTCCTTTGGGTTCTTTGGGTTAATAATACCTAGAGAATAAAAATATTTGTGTTAAGCCCTTCAATTACAAGTTCATTAGCTCCATATATTATATGTTTAAGTCATCCCAAACAGCACATTTATACTATCGAGTCCTAACAAAAAACAAAAATACCATTGTTTAAGAGGCAATTTATACTGGAATGCACACACACACACACACACACACACACACACAAACACACACACACGTGCGTGCGCATCAGGCCACAATACTCACTTGGGTGTTACCAGTATTCAGAACAGAGCCTAGTATGTAACAGGTTCTCAGTAAATCTTCTAGAACTGAATGTTTGTCCTTCCTTAGTAAGTTAGCAGCTAAAACTAGGAAATGAGCTATTTCTATTTCAAAGCACCTCATAAGGCTTGAAATACTTAAAACACTTTAAAAATAAAAATTGGAAAGGTATTATTATATTAACCCAATGTGAAAAAAAAAAAAAACCTCTTTGTGAGGTTCTTGCTATCTACTTCAAAGAAGCATTTGATAATGAGGCAGTCATGGAAAGTTTATGTTTCTGAAATCCAAGGTAAACAATATTGTTATTTTCAGTATGTGTAGTGAGATTTGTGATTTATTAGTGCTCTGGTTCTACACATGTTGAAAATGACTTCTCATATAACTAATGCCATCATACCGCACTGCAGCAACTGACTGAATGCTGTAGTTTAATCCTTTCTTTTTCACACAACCTTTTATCATCTCTTATTTCACATGAGACACACTCTCCCAAACATGTGCTCAGAAAATCTTCTCACATACTAGACATCTCAACTAGTTCCTTTTGCTGAGGCAAGGCTTCATGCCAAACTATCACTGAAAACAGGATTAAAAAGTAAATCTGTCTTGGGCAGCTGGTGTTCAGGACACAAATAGCAACAGTTGCTACGGTGCTTACTTCTCCCTCTTGCTGGATTCCTCTGGGCACAGCCACATACTTATGTTCCAACCTCAACTGCTGACAGAGTATTAATAAGGCTCACATTACGCATAGTCATGTGACTAGAACATGGTTCTAGAAAATCTCCCTACAAATAAATGGTAATTTAATCAAAGTCTAACAAAGGAGTACAACATACCAGTCAGCATTTGCCACATCATTACTCTACCCGTAAGTATTTTGTGTTTAGTAACCCTTTTTATCCCCCAACCAGGCAGTGAGGCAAATGCCTTCTATTCCCATTTTATAAAGAAGCCATCACAGAAAAGTTCAATATTCCTTAGGCCACAGAGCTAGCTAGTGGCAGATTCAGAATTTGAATTTGCAGAGCTGCCACAATTAGACAAGAATCATCATGTAAATGCTTTTTCTCACATACAAAGATTACCAAGATGAAAGAGAGGAAGGCATTTTATTTATTTGCTTTACATACAGGTATATCTGCATATATATGTGCATATATACGGCTATACACATATAGCTACCCCCTAAACTTAAACAACAGGCATTATTTAAAACTCTCTATTTGATTAAACTTGCCCTGTTTTAACAGTAA